TAGGAATAGCACTTGGACTTATAGTGCTTTATAGCCCTTCCTAAGTGGTTTACAGAGTCAGCATATTGCCCCCAACAATCTGGCTCCCCATTTTACCAACCTGGGAAGGATGGAAGGCTGAGTCAACCTTGAGGCACTCAGGATCAAGTTCCTGTATGGGGGAAGAGTTAGCCTGCAATACTGCATTCTAACCACTATGCCACCACGACTCTTCAATATACTTACTATCATGAAGTAATATAATTTTCCAATTCCAGGGCTCGTTCTCACCTATGTGTTCCACATTTGGATGTAACATGAAGGTTAAGAAAATAACATACTTGAACATCAAATTTTAGCAGAAGAATAAAATATACATGAAATAAATATCAAGAATCTCTATGGCCTTGCTGCGATTGGTATTTTCCTGGCCATCATGGAATTTAAAAAAAAAACTTGATAGAGCTTAAGCTCATCTGTCCAAGAGAACAAGATCATTACAACTATAAACCATGTGTGGTTTGTTATCTTTATGAGCTTCCTGTTGTTGGGTTATTTTTAAGAGTTTAAGAAAAGTAGGATGTTTAATAATAGCTAAATCTAAGGAACAGGCCAGTCAATAAATTCATTAATTGCATCTAGATATTTGTTTGTAAAAGAATAAGGTTGCAAAGCTGTTCTTGCTGAATTCTGAATATGGTTGCCATATAAAAATTCCTTAAAATAAGAACAAAAATATTTAGTATAAAACTTTTTGCCAACATTAATTTCAACAATTTGTTTTGCCTATCTGAATTTCAAATGGGCAACCTATTAAGTTTACATTTTTTCTATGGTATTTACTGCCAGGAAAACAATTACTTAGACCAGAGGTGTCAAATGCACATCATCGTGGCCACGACACATGACATATTGGGACTTTTTTCTCCTTCGCTAAACCGGGCATGGGCACATGATATATCCATCCCGTGGGCCAGGAGTTTGACACCCTGAGTTAGATTTTCAGAAGTAATTTGAATAAAGCAACCTCATGAAGTCTCTGTAATCTTAAAGTAGAAAAGGATTGTGGTCAGAAATTAAAGGCTATGTATACAGTAAAGATAAACTTTAATCAAGCTGTACAGTTTGAAGTATTCATTTTATTCAATGAAACTCACAGAACTGAATAAAATGTGAATTTGAAGAGGACTTTTTAATGCAATGTGTAATCATTATTTTCAACAGAGTTTTAGTGGTAAAAATGTTTTTGACAACAACAATAAAGCTATTACAAAGTTAAGGCATTGAACAAGAACTGGGGAGACCCAACATCCTGCAGCTCATTGCATGACTTTGGGCTAGTCACTCCCAGTTGGACTTACCTCATAGGATTGTTGTTGCTATGAAGAAAATGGAAGATTTCCTGAACAACATGTGGGCTATAAATCTAATAGAAGTGAGTGAGTGAATGAATAATATCAGTAAGCCTAAAACACATTTATTTGCCAAAACTTTCCTAGCCATATTGTATAGATATTCTGAATGTCACTTTTCCAATAAATTTGTATGGTGTCAGCTTCAGGATAGTTAAAAATGGAAAAGAAAGCCTCACTGACTGCAGCTAGAATTTGCTTAAATCATTATTACCAATGTTAAAATTATGGTTTACAATAATAGTTCATGAAATGCAACATTTTTGGCCAGAGCATCAAATCAATAATAGTCTCATTGTCCTGAGCAAAAACAGTGCAGTTATTTTATGCTTAGTGAAAAAAGATCACTATTTAGAACCTACCTAGAAAAAAATATGAACATTTTCGAAGTAGTATCATATTCCTTCCTTTCCCCAACAGACTTTCTCTCCCTCCTCTCTCTCTCTCTGTAAAACATACTATCAATTAAATATCCTCAATCCTTCAATCTAAGATGCTTCATACCATGATAAAGCCTTTTCCTATTGAGAAATGCTTTCAATGGCATTCTATGATAAGAAGGAAATATTTAAATGTCTTACTTTGATATATGCTGTATACATTAACTGTATTGAGGCTTAAAACCACTTTTTGTATTATTTGGAACTTCAGGAACACTAGACTCAACTATTTCAGATGGAACACATATGCCTATTTCTGAACAGCCAAGGAACATGTAGATAGTACCAAGGTGCTAATTAAAAATTAGAAGTGTTTGAGGGAGGGGAAGTCTTCAAGGATGCCATAAATTATTAGTTTTGGTGGAAAGGCAGCAAAAGGTTATCTCCAAATTAAGAAAAAATAACAGTCTCTTAAGATTCCAAACAGAGGCTCTTCTAATTCTGTCAATCAACAGAGAACAACCAATTGCACTAAACCTCAAAAGAAACATGAGGAACATTTAGAGGAAGCTTGGGGGGAAATAAGCATGAAAAAGCAACTAAGAATTGGTGAGTATGTTCTGCCTGAAACCCATTAACTTGAGATCTCGGATTGGACACAGGTTCCCCTTAGTTTAACTTCAGATTAAAGCAGAAAACACTGAGCTGGAAGTAATTAGTTACTTATTTTACTACACTAGTACTACTATCCAAACATATCTCTATGCATCCATGCATGTGAAATCTACAACAGTAACTGAGGACATGAACTGTATTGTAATGCACAGGATTATTGTGTATACTGAGTTCAAATATGATCTTGTGCTGGACTTTCTAACTAAAAAAGGCAATACGCATTCAAGATCCAAATATTTAAAGGTTTTTATAGTTGAGTTTCATAAAAGCTTCATGCACACATTTAACAACATTATGATCAGTCATTGATAGAGAAGCTTAGTGTACCAAGGGATCATCAATAGCTTTCTTCAAAATAAAAGTCTGAACACCTATCTATAATTTACATAATCCAATAAATCTAGCAACTTCTATTGCCCATTTTGAGAAAGAAGGAGAATGCTAATTCTTAAGTTCAGAGAATAATGGCCAGTGTACTGTAGCTGAAACAGTCAATGTGTTTTATTTCAGCCATTCAGGGTGTACTCTAAAAACTCTGCAGCTTGTTAACTTCAAGAAGGATGGCAAAATTGAGAAAGGTGACTTTCAGCACCTAAGGTTGTTTTGGGGATATCTGGTAATGTGCATTTCTTTGCCTTTTATCAGCCCTATAAGAAGACTTTTTTGTGACCCTTGACCATTAACATCTATCTGCTGAATTTGTTTAACAAACAAGCCTTGTAATGGCTCCTTCTCGACTGAGCGTGCCATCACAAAATGCACATTCAATTAAGCAAATGAATTTACAAGCTATCACTATTCTGTCTTCCCACCCCCTTTCCAGTGATAGCTTGCCATTAAAATGCAAATACAATGGCTTCATTGGCTGACAAACAACAGCTCTGCCTTTCTCTAAAACAGAGATATATTTCTCTTCATTTTAAAAATATGAAACAAATATCTATATCACTTGCCATGTTGTAGTATCAGATTTTGCGTCTGCTCACTGTGGAAGGGGAGGGAGGAAACACTCAAATGAGATCATTAAGAGTGAATGTGTCTGTAAGCCTCAGTTCAGCTCCCTTCCTTCCTTATCTCCAACCCCCATAAACAGTCACAAAAAGAATACTATACCCATGACAGAGAGCTGAATCCACATTTTTCTCTTCGCAAAGCTGACCTGCACATAAATTAGCTTTGGAGAAAACTTAGCTCGATTGAAACAATGTTATAAAGGCTTCCATTACATCCAAAGTATTCTTTCAAAGGGATTCTTTTTTTCGTACTAAAACGAAGCGTTTTGAACGGAGCTGTTCCTTGCCAATGTTATTTATGATCCTTGAGGTTGTCACGAGGCCATCATATTTGAGGGATGCGAGTTTCTGTGTTTTTCTGGACCCCACAAGGAAACAGCCCAGCAGTTATTATGACAAAATAGTAGTAGCCATAATATAATGGGGACGATACTGTTCAATGGGGGAGGGCACCCTAATGTTTCCAATTCTCTTATCTCCTAGGATGGCACCTCAGTTTCCTCAAGGGCGCTGACCTTCTAATCCTCAAAACTCCACAGGACCACCACCCCCCCGCGCGCTTTTCTTCCCTTCGGCCACCTCTCCCCCCTCCCCTCGCACTGCGCCTGTCTTTGTGTCTGCTTGTCACTCACCGGTAAACCAAACTGAAGGTTCAGTCATGAAAAATACAAAGCCAGGAGAAACGTTTGTATGTATAATTAATAATGATAATAAATATTCGCCCAGCCAACCCAGCTTTCTGCCCCAGCAAACAGAACGCTCAAGACACTTCTCTAAAAGAGTTCGCTTTCTGCTGAAAGACCACACACCCGCCACTTCAAAGAAAGAAGAAAAGAAAAGAAAAAAAACCCCCCAATAAATTCTGAAAAGTTTTGTCCAGCTCACCCAGCCACTGATTTCTCTCCCCTGCCCGGTTTCTTTTAAAGCTACCCTCCAAAGTGCTTCCACACACCCCACTTAGGAGACGCTTTCCAGAATAAAGCCAAAGCTATGGAGAAGTCCGCACGTGTGTGAACGAGAAACATATATTTAAAGGGCGGAGGAAAGGAAAGAAGGCAAAAAGAAAGGAGAAGCGCAACTTAAATAAAACCAAGAACTTTTTTAAAATGACAAGAGTGACTTCCCTGGAAACGGGTGGAAATAAACCGCCACCCCTCCGGGGTTGCAGGAGCAGGGCTCAGTAGCAAAGTTCTCCAGGCGACGGCACGGGCAGAAAAGGGGGGAAGAGAAACGCGCGAGCGAGGAACCTCTTTTAAATCTCCGCTTTAAAAAGCCTATTTGACAGCCATGTTCCTATTTGACACCAATAATTTTCTCTCCCCTCTTCTTCCCCCCTCCCATCTTTGGACTTAGTACTGCAGGCTCGGGACTTGAGTGGGGGGGCTTCCCCCATTCGCCCCCAGCCCCCCCCAAACAGTCTTTAAGTCATGCCACAAAGCTCGACGGATAGCGCAGGAAAGGGAAAGGCAGAGAAGACAGGGTGAAGGAGAGAGGGAGAGAGAAAGAAAGAAAGAAAGAAAGAACGCGACAAGGGCTCTGACCTCCTTCGGCTGTCCCTCCGCTTCGCCCGACTCCAGCCAAAGCAATCTGGTCTGCCTTCGATCCAATCCTAAAGGGCAGTCATCTTGCTTCCTTCTGCTCCTTTACGAAAGCAGCCTTGCCTCCGCATCAATATTCATAAGGCCGTTTTGACGTCTGTTCTCTCATCACTCGATGAAGCCCCAGCGACGCTCCCACTGCCGGACGTGACTGCCATGCGAACGAGTTCCCAGACCCACCGGGGAGAGGAGGGAGAAGGGGAAGGGGACGACCCGCCGCTTCTGCGGCCGGCTCCGGGGCTGGCAAGAGGCCGGCCCCCGCAACTGTCCCCTTGGGGAGGGCGGGAAGGGAAGGAGTCCTTTCTGGTGGGCTTGTCCAGGGAAATCCAAGAACTACTTCCCGGGAAATCTTTTTTTTTTTTTTTTTTATGGGGATGGGAATTATTTCACACACTTGTCCCGTCCAGGGTTACGGTGCGCAGTAGACTCTGTAGGGCTGGGTGAAGGTTGCCTTAAAGCTGCGGACTTTTGCAAAGTTTAGGGCGGAGAAATAGCTTGGAAAAGGGAGCTACGGCCAGAGAGGAGACCGGTCTCCAAAAACGAGTGCTGGATGAGCTCCAGCAGCGGGAGACAGTTGCAAACAAAGGGCTCAAAACAAGGAGCTGTCATTCCTAACAGATGTTGTTTCCTGGTGGGCGGGAGGGGTGCAGGATGCGGGGTGCGGGGGGGGGCGGAACACGCATCCTCGCTCTCTTGAAGCAGAAGGAAGCTTTCACAATGGCTCGCTGCCAAGCGTCATCCCACTCGCAAGCCCCGCCCTACAGTTTCCATAGTCAGCGCTCATTGGTGGCGAGAGTCTCCGGGAGAACTGCGTGGGGGGCGGGGGGGTTGTCTCTTTCAAAGGTTGCCTTCGGAACTTCCCCCGAAGTTGAGGAGGTCTCACTTAGCGTAGTTCCTGGTGACTTAGCTGCGCCGGTCGAATGGCACACGCGTCCTTTTGTGCCACTTTCCTCATCTCTATACATTCCCCTCCCTCTCCCCCCCCCCGCCCCCACTACCCCAGCATGGAAAGCATGCCCCCTCGCAAAATGTGCTTTTCCGAAACAGTTTCATCCAGCACGAATGCATTTTGGTGTGAATTTAATATGATAAAACCCGGAAAAATAGATGGGGTGGGGAGAAGAAAAACGACTGTCTTTCATTGAGCAGAAAATCCATGTCGGTGCAGAGAATGACAAGCTGGCAAAAGGGGCATCGGGTAAAAAAAAACATTTGAGGTTCCTGTTGGCAGCAGTCCTTCTTTAGAACCGCAAGTTGATATTCACCCTCTCTGAGCAGTAACATACAACTTCGGTTACAACTTTAAGAAGATAAAGAAAATGAACTAATAGATTTCGGTCCAAATAGATCCACCAAATGTTCCAATGTTTGTTTGTTTTTAAAATTAGAACGCTTCTATAGTTTGCTTTTAATTGTCTATCAAACCTGAGCAGAAAAGTGGTATGGTATAGAAATCTTTCAACTGTAACAATTGATAACTTTGTATCCACAGAGTAGCATTGAAACAAAATATCGGAGATACACATTGTAACTAGGAATAGCTACTATTTTATAAATTGTTGATAAGCCTTCTTTTGAGATCTAATAGATTCATAGTACAATCTCACAACTACTTTTCTGGGAATACAGACAACAGACTTTTTAGTCTTGTCCCTCAATTGTTGATCTGAAAACTCTTTAGTCCTAAAGTTACCTCGATCTCAGTAATGTAATCCAGGTCCTGGACTAGCGAGAGGAGTTTATTAGGGAACACAGTCACCAAAATCAGAAAATATTTTAAAATGGTAAAAATGAAAAAAAAAAAAAACCTAAATAAATACCATAAAGGCAGCTTTTTTGTTTTTGTTTTTTGTTTTGCAAATAGTTCTGCACTCAATTGATAAAGGGGATTAAGCAAAATACTGGAAAAATGAAAGGAAATTATATATCCCTCACAGGAAATGTCAGTTCTAACACATGTAATACCTGGAGATGCTTTTGTTTGTCCAGATTGCCTTGCAATGCTCCATGAAAGAAAATGTATCTTATATTATTAAAGCATGAAAATGTTTTCTGCTATTCTGCGTTCAACCGCCAATGAATTTTCTTGCAGTGTTTGGAGTGGGACTTCCTTCCTATTTCCTCCACCTCTGCTGCCCCCCTTTGTTTGTGAGGGGTTCATAATTTCTACTATTGAGCTAAATTATAGAGGCCTACTTGGTTCTAACCTTTATTGAAAAACAATAAAAAAAATCAGTTTTGGAAACCCACCTTAAATAGACTCTGCAAATGCTTACAGCTGGTTGAAGAAAAGGTCCCTGTGAAGGCTTTGGAAGAGAAGGAAAGGGAATGGGCACCCACTACACACTTCCAGATGCCCCTCCTCCAAGTGTTGAATGCCCAGCTCCAGAAGGGGTTTCTCCTTCTGTCTGCTGGAATACAACCCCCAAATTCAAGCAAATGCCAGCAAACGTTTCCCTGATGATCCTCTCTGTCCATCCCAGCAGGCTGATCTCAGGAGTGGGGGCCTGGTGACTCTTCTTAGGGGTACAGCAACTTGTATCTGCCAGGCTGTACTTCAATTACTTGCATGGCTTCTAATGGCAATTGGCGATGACACAACATTTGGGTGTTCTCAATATGTTATGGTAGGCAAATTGTTTTCCCTTTTTCTGAGGTTTGGAGCAGATTGCTCAGGGTCTAGCTTTCCAGTAGATTGTCGAATATTTGTGTTGCCTTGCACTCTGGAGTCAGAACACAATATATTTTTATGTGATGATCTTCTGGGTTTCCTTAAAAGAGACCGTCTGTCTTATTTTCTTATTTTCACTTTCAGTTCACCTTCCGGAGAAATGTACACTTCGCCCAAGAATAGGATCATGCACAACTCTTGCTTTTTGTATTTTTTTTTAGACACGGTAACTGGGACGTGTATGATGTTTGTTTATAGTGGGTGTAAGGAAGTGAAAACAACTTCTTTACTTCGGATGAATGCCAAAAAGAATGTAAAAGGAAGATAAGAAACTTTTGGAATCTAAGTTCTATACTAGTAATAGGCAAAACTGGAACTCATTATTGGGATCAATCAGTAAGCATTTAGAAAGTTAAATATGCGAAATGAAATTTCATAAAGAAGTGTCCTAAAAGTAGCTTTTTGTTTTTATGGTTTTCCTTGAAAATGGTTATGTGAGCATTTCCACGCTTAATTGACAAAATGGATCAAATAGCAATTACACTATTGAAAAATCTACTGTTGACAACTTGATTTTAATTGTCTCCTTTCCAGAGCAATACTGACTCCAATTCATGCTTGGATTGATAGATGGGGTGGATTCAGCAGCTGGAGAAGGAATCCAAACTTCCATGGACTCTCCCACTGGAACACTTTGCATGCATTGAATTCTAAGCATTCTCTTAAATAAACATACAAATGCTTTGAACTGCAATAATCTGTCTCTAAAGTACTGTTGCTATTGCTCCTTTTATTCTGTCAGGCCATCAACAACATTGCAAAATGAAACAAATAAAAGAGGACTTGGAGAGATGGAGAAATTTGAGGCTCTCCCCAATGGGTCAAATAGTGATAATTAAGATGAATTTCTACCAAAACTACTCTTTTTGTTTCAAAATATACCTATAAAATTAGATACTTTTTTTTTTGGGGGGGGGGGGGGGGGAATCTGAACAAAATGACTTTGAATTTTATATGGCAAGGAAAGAAATAAAGGATTAAACTAAAACTTCTCCAACAAGCTAAACGAGGAAGTTTTGGCTTGCCAGATTGGGAAATATACTACCAGGCAGCGACACTTACCTGGGTGAAAAATTGGATAACTTTAAAGAATAAGAGACTACTATCATTAGAGGGCCATGACTTACATCTAGGATGGCACACATTTTTGTGGTATGGTAGACACATCGCACATCAATGTTTCCAAAGACACCAGATATGACAAGCCCTATTTATGGTATGACCTGGGGTGCTCACATTGCAGCATTGGCCAAAAGGGGCCAGCAGAGATTATACAACCTGAGACTTCTCAGAAAACAACAACTGAATGAATAACTGCTGGTGACCTTCTACTGCTGCACCATAGAGAGTATCTTAACTTACTGCACCTCTGTATGGTTTGCCAATTGCACAGTGGCAGATAGGAAAGCACTCCAGAGGGTTAATGTCATTGCCCAGAAGATCATTGGTTGCCCTCTCTCCTCTTTGGAATAGCTTTATACCTCCTGCTGCCTTAAGAAAGTTCAAAACATTCTCAAAGATCCATCTCATCCTGGGCACCCCCCCTTTTTTTTAAACTATTACCACCTGGCAGATGGCACAGAATAATAAAAACAAGGACAAATAGGCTGCAAAACAGCTTCTATCCCAGGGCCGTAGCTCTGTTGAATTCTACTTTATAGTGCAGTGTTGGTGTGGTGTCAGGGTTTTCAGTTCAATGTGTGGAGTGTGAAGGATATGTGTTTGTGTTTATTTTCATGGTCATGATGTGCACTGAAGATGGTGTTTGATTTCATTTTATGAGGTACAGTGACAAACTAAACTAAACTAAACTAAACTAAACTAAACTAAACTAAACCTGTTAATTCAGTAGCAAATAATTGGACTGCATATAAACAAAATGACATAATTTAAGATATAAGACCAAAAACAAGATGGACTGACAACATCAACAAGTATTGCAGGCCCAACTGGCAAAAGAAAACTCAGGAACATATTAGTTGGAAACATGCAGAAGTGGCCTTCATTCTGCAATGGATAGACAATGGCTGAAACAACATAACAAATGTTATACTTCAACTAGTTCAAGGTCAATAGTTTTATGCATTTGTACAGTGCATGAAAATATTCACATATAATGTGAAAAATATTTGGTCGGTCATTGGTGAGCAGAATCACAGTTTCCCATATAATGTAGACATATGAAAAAAAAATCTAACTCTTCCTTTGAAGCCATTTTTATACTCTATGATCTTTTAAATGATGCTCAACAGCAGTTTTTAGTGTTCTTCATTCCTGATCATATTTTTAAACAATCAATTTGTAAGCTAAGTTTGTAAGTAAAAAAAGTATCTCATCAATTGTTCTTTGATTAATTTTTCATCTTTCCCTATCCAATAACATATGTGTTGGAAGACATCATGTCCAGTTATGATGTTGATTGGGGAAATGTAACTCAAAGTATTTGAGGTATTCCTTTATGAATTGATAAATAACACTGGTAATGTGTGTGTGTGTGTGTGTGTGTGTGTGCGTGTGTAATTGTTTTGCTATTCCCTCTTGGCACAAGCAAGATGTTAAAATATTTAAATTTAGTAGCTGGAGCAGTGGGATTGTGTAGTGAGCCAGACCACACAGTTATTGATTGATTGGAGAGTGCTGGCTCCTGCATGAGGCAATCCGCACTGTGCTTTGGGTGTGGAGGGGTTTCCCCCCCCCTTTTCCCTGCCTTTTTCTTATGTGTGCCCTGTATGTGATTTACCTCATGATGCTCCTGTTTGCAAACTATATTTATTTATATAAACTATATTTATTTATATAAAACTACAAGTTCATGTCAGCATATCTGGTTCCATTTGGACACCTGCTGCCCAATTCTTTGACATATGATATGTAAGTGCAGAAAATT